CATAATTCCATTGCTGGGAATCTGCCACCCTTAAAGAGGTACATAGAAAAATTATCAGACAAAAGTATTCTGGGGACAGGTTGCACAAGAACGTAAATGTACTTACTATTAAACTGTATGCTTGAGCACTGATTAAGATGATAAATCTTACAGGTATTGGACCACAATTTAAAATAAAAAATTCATAACAGAAATTTAATAGTGAAGATATTAACATGTTGGTTCATGTTGCAATTTTTAAAATATGAAAAATAAAGTAAACATCCAACAATTAGAAATCGATTTAAAAATCAATTATAGAACATTGAAACCACAGATCATACATAACAAGTTGTTCAAACAAACTGGAAATTTCTCATGATGCAATCTGAAGGGGAAMAAAGAAGAACATAAAACCCTTATATTATGTGGTCTCAGGTTTAGGTTGCAGTTTAAAATAAAGACTAGAAAAGATAATATCAAAATGCTGGCAGTACGTCAATAATGAGATTTCCAAATTTTCTATAAGAAATATTCTTGCAGGGCTGGGGGAGGCAGCACCTTGTCAGACGTGAACTCACTGTCCAAGAATCAGGCAGGATGACTTCTATCTCACAACCTGTCAGTGTTCCCTTAAAGATATAGCAAGAGTGGCTTTCAAACATGCTACATGGGGTGTGTCAACTGTGAGACAGAAATGAACTGAACTGGGCAGAAGTGAAAATGGCAGCACACTCTCTAGTCTCCCCACACCAGCCAGTACAAGCAGAAGAGCAATATAGAGTTAGGATCTCTTTTTTTTTTAATATTTTATTTTTTAGTTCTCAGTGGACACAACATCTTTGTTGGTATGTGGTGCTGAGGATCGAACCTGGGCCGCACGCACTCCAGGCGAGTGCGCTACCAGTTGAGCCACATCCCCAGCCCGAGTTAGGATCTCTTATTAGAGATACTTGGGACCCAAAGTGTTTTGGATTTGGAAATATTTGCATATACATAATGAGATATCATGGGGGTGGGATCCAGGCTAAAACACAAAATTTATTTGTTACATATACATCTTATATGCAGAGCCTAAAGGTAATTTTATACAATATTCTTGGCATGCCTGCATTTTGATTGTGACCTATCACATGACATTAGGGGCAGAATTTTTCACCCGAGATGATATGTATGTGCTCAAAAAGTTCAAGATTTGGGGGCTGAGGATGTAGCTCATTGGTAGAGCGCTTGCCTAGCATGTGTGAGGCACCTGGTTTGATCCTCAGCATCACATAAAAATAAATAAAATAAATGYCTATCAACAACTAAAAACAATTTTTTTAAAAAAGTTCAAGATTTTGGAGCATTTCAGATTTCTAGATTATGGAGGCTCCATSCATATCCCCTATTTGTCCCCATTTTCTGTTGTACCCACAGTATTTCAAAAGGCTGCGTCTCATTAATGCCTGACTCTCTTGATTGTTTCATAATAGGCCAATGTGATCCGGGAAGAAGAATGCAAATGTGAAATAACTACTGATATTACAAATAAATACACCACAGGAAATAGGCTTTACTTTTCTCTGGAAGACAAAAGGATACATTACAAATATTGATTAGTTCTCAATCCAAAAAGGATTACAACAGCCACAGAACTATTTTAATGGATGCTGGTCCTTGTTTTCATTACCAGAAATAGATTCCCCATTTAGAAAAACACAAAAATTTTGAAACAATACTCAAAAAATTAATTTTCTAACTAACAGTGGAAAAAATATAAATAGAGGAAGGTGGCAAAAAGGTTTTTTAAAAACRCTCAATTTTAAGGTGGAATGTAAGAACTCCATCACATAAAATGTAGGGCCACATTAATACAACATCCAGAGGCTAATCACCAATTATGTTAATACAAATTTTTATTAATACAGGTTATGTGGCTTATTCAGAGAGGTTTTATAGCATTTGACCCTTACTAGAACAGAATAATTGCTCCCGTCTCCAACAGTTTCTTGATTAGCATCAATTAGTGAAGAGTTTCTATCCAAACAAGTAAAACAGGTTTGGTTTTATTTTAAAAAATTAAAATTTAAATTAAAAAAAAAAAGAAAAGAAACAACAACCCCAAAAGGCCTCTTTCTTAAATGAGAAAAGGGTCTAATCTTACAAATCAGAAAACTGATCAAGGTAATTTCAGAGCTGAGTCTGAGCACAGTCCACTGGAGTGGAGGGATGAGACAGGAGATGGGGAGTGGCTCAGTACCTTCTGGGAGCTGCAGATACACTGTACTTACTGTATCATTAGCAGCAACAGTGCAAGCTTCTAAAATAGATGGATATTTTTAACCCAGTGAACATTCACAGCCATATGTCAATTAAAAAAACATTTTTTTTTAATAGGCAGGTAGAACATTAGGGMTCCAGTTATTTTCCCAACCACATGGTTTAATCAGAAATCTGTGCATTAGACACCATGGAAAAAATACTGTTTATCATTTAATGTATTCTGAGTCACTGCCATTTTTAAGCAAGCATCTCTGACCCTAACTTTTCAAATTAAAATTACAAAGATAATGACGCCAAATCACCACTGTGAGACACTAATTTGCTACACAAATTTGAGCAGCACACAAGAGCTGCTCTGTTAGAGACATACCTGTTTATTTCATTTGGATCAAAAACATCTAATATGGAGAATATTTTCTGCAATCCATTAAAAGTTGAATGTTGCAGAATTACTATTCTCTTCTATTCATAAGGCCAAACAAAGAATTTAGCAAAAGTAAATTTCATTCCTGTGGAGGAAAAACTTGAGAATGTTTTCTCAAAGCTGAAAATATCTAATATTGATTGGTCCGGGCATATAAGGAAACATGTCTCATCAGGATTACCCTGGTCACAGCCCAAAACCCCTCTGGATAGGCATGCCATTCCTTGTTACCCAAAGTCCCACTAAAACAGACACTGAATTTGTTATAAATAATAAAATTACATCTGAAGTACAGTATTCCCTGGAGTCTCTTAGGTATTCCTTAGTCCTAGGCCCAAGCAACATCAATTCATTTCAGTAGCACAGACAATCAGAGGGAACATGGTCCAAAATATCAAATCTCTGTACTTGGCATTACCTTCAACTGAGGTCCCTTAAGGATACAAATGTGTTCAAAATTATCTGTATTTTACATACATAAGGTATACTGAGATAAGACATCCTGACTATCCTCAAGGATCACATAAACAAAGCACATATTGTTAAAGAAAAAAAATCATCAAATGATACTTGTGAAAGCACAGAAAGGCACACTTCATTCAGGTGTGGGTTTTGGGACCACCTGCAGTGGCATCTTGCAGTTGAGGAGAGAGACTGAGCTCAACTCTGAATACAGCATGGTTTAGTGGGAATTTATAGTCAAGGAGCAGGGTGTGGCTGGAGCACAGAATGTTACAAACATTAGGAGTAAGTGGGGGATTCTCATTCAACTGACCTAACAGGATCCTTGCTTAAAGACTGGCCTGGGTGGTTAGGCATCACCTGTGGGCTGGTGCAGGGTGAGGAAACTGATCAGATTGGTGGGTAAGTCAGTTTGCTAAACTGACTTAGCAGGTTTCTTTGCTAAAACTGGATTTTACAATAGAATGCACAGATGAGCCTGGGAGAAGGTTCAGAAGCCTGAATAAAGTTCAATAAAACAAAGAATTTGTGTCAATACATATCCTAACTCAGAGAAAAAGGGCAAATAACTTAGCTGATCAAAAAGCAAAAGTAAGATACTGTACATAATTTTTACAAAGAAAGAGCGATTCAGACCAGGGTAACCTAGCAAAAGAGGCAGTGTGGGAAATAAGATTCGAAGGAAGAGAAGACATTTGACATAGAGATATAGCAGTGGGGAGGGCAAAGAGGGAAGCAAGGACATTTCAGGAATTTCCCCAAATACTGATAAACAGGTCAAATTCCTTGGCACAGGAAATCACTTCATACCAAAAAGGTTTCCAAGTTCCAGCTAATGACTGGATTGTAAACAATGCTGTCCAAAATAAGAAAATTTTAGAACAATAAAAGATTTCTGGACACTCACCAAATTCAGAGCACCATTTCTAACATTCAAACCCTTGAGTGTTGGTCTTCTAATCAAATACCCACTAAATAATTCAGAAATAATGCATATGTCATCTTAATACAAACATTTGGGAAACCAGAAAAAAAAAAAAACAGATAACTAGTTAATTTCAGAGACCCAGGGCACATTTTAGATGAATTCTGAAAATGTTTGTGTGTAACTAAGAAGAATTTTTGTGCTTGTGCAGCATCAGCAAGGTCCCAAATTATCCTGCCTTTTGTAAACAAATACTCAGCAAATCTGAAAATATCAAAGAACTGTTAGGGTTCTGGTATGAGCATCTGTGAAAGAATTTCCTCACATCTGAATCACAATCTCTCAAAGTTAAATACCTGTGGTTTTTTAGGGCGGTTGGGGTTAACATTAAGTGTAAGAAGTTGATAACSGTGAGGGAAGCCCAGATACCTTATACAAGTCATCCATGAGTCCCAAGCCCCTGCCCCCTTTACAAGTCTGAGTTTTCACAAACAATTAAATTTTATATCTGTTCCAATGCAGGATGATGTAATCAAGTAAAACACACCAGTACATAAGGCCTGGTAGCTTGTCCTACGGCACTTCCCTAGATCTGTAACCTTCAAATGTAACATACAGTCCAGAGTTCCTTGATTCAGTCACAAGAAACCAACAGAACCTGTGCTTAACATCTATACTGATCTTGAATCTTTTAAAATCCAGCCTGGCCAGTCTGAACACTTTACATGGAGGTTGAACTAAAGAGACAAGTCTACTAAAACCATACTTTAAAACAAAAGGGGAGGGGGTAGGCTTTTTCCCCCTTCTTCCAAAAGTTACTGTAACAAAGAAGAAAAAAATTCTCCCAGATTTCCTGCAGGCATTCAGTGTGCTTGACTTTGATCCCGTTTTATTACTTATGCAATCAAGACAGCTTGTTTGGATGCCACTCTGTTGCTTGTTTACCTGGGGATTTTTTGTTTGATCTTGATTGCACCAAGTGAGACTGTCGAGGCAGCAAGGGTGATGAAGGCAGAGACATTGAGACACCTTTGGCCAAGCTCACCCGATAGGTGTCCTCTGCTAGGCTCACAGGAGCGTCGACACCATGACCAGGGGGTGGGACTGGAGAAGACTCTTGACTGAAGTCACCTCCTGGAGTGGAGAGAGAATATCTTAGGTTACAGCATTCGTTACAAGTTGAGGTGAATTTAATTCCTAAAAACTACATTCTTAAAACAGAATGCCCACATACTTTAATGTATCATGCCCATACATCTTGACTTTCTTTTAAATGACTTTCCCCAACACTCTTAAAACTTCTTGCCCTCTGGGAGATAACTTAAGTTGTACCACTCAAGCATCAAGGAACTCTGCCTCTGATCCCTTTCTATCCTTACCCTACTGGTCTAATTGCTTCCTAACAATGCGTCCAGGATTAGACATAGAATGAAGGATCCATAAGCAGCTCTGATGTCAGCTAAGAAGAGGGCAAGGTGACCAGCCTTCTGTGAGTATCACTGGGACAGAGTCCAATGCAAGAGCTGCTCCAGAACTCCCAGGCTTCCAGATGCTCCTTTCCAATAAGGAACTTCCAAGGAAGGTCTTGGCTGTTTCCACAATCCTTTCGAGCCCCACCCCGCTGCTCACCCATCCCATCTGTTCCACATGCCCCCAAACCTGAGGTCCATCCTCTCAAACCTCAACCAGCCCCTACCCATCACAGGACTAGAACTATGGCTCACATACTAGGCAGGTTTCCTTGGTCCTTAGCCCTTAAACAGCCTTGGGAACAAACAAGGTTAGAGCAGATCCTCCAAAATATACAGGATGCAATTACAATGTAGGAAATATATGAAGAAGGGAGTATATTGGCAGGAACCATTCTCTCAAAAAAAACATACAGCCAGTCCTCAAGTACTCAGATACTGTGCTTCCCTCCTAGGGCTGCTGCCTCTATCACATTCTCACTTAATCTGTACTAAGAAACACCTGAGGAAGTGCAGAGAGAGAGAAGGCAAATCATCATCCTGCAGATTAAAAAGCACCTTCAAGCTCTAAAGTATAGGCAGTAGAATCAAAAAGATACATAAAGTTTCCCAGAAGCAAAACCAGACTCTGCTAAATGCCAACCAACTGGTCCTTGCCATGCCTCCCGACTCTGGGGGAAATAAAAAAATCAAGATTTGAAAAAAAGAAAAATGAAAGTTGTCTAGCCATGTGGGAACTCAATTTTTCCAGATCTTTGTGCATAAGGCTCAAAAAGGGATGTGACCAAACCTATCAAGTTTCAAATACCATCACTGTGCCCTTTTGTTTCATATTAGGAGCCATGGGGAAGGAGAGTCACTCCACCACAGACCAGGATTTGTGTTCATGCCTCTTACAAAGGCTACTCAAAACCAGCAGAGCTGCGAACAGAAAAGCCAGGAGCTCTGAAACAGACAAGTCAGCAAAGTCAGAAAGGTAAGTGTAGTCTCAGCTGGGCCAGCCATGCTCCGAGGGGTTCTGAGAAACCTGATAAACTAAAGATTTATCACAAATTGCTCACCTGACTGCCACTTGAAGGAAAAAGCAAAATTACCAGAAAATCTTCACTAAAGTTACCAAAACAAGGACATCGTTCCTGGCAAATGCCTAAGAGTTCTGTCCCCAAGACAGGAAAGCAGGCAGAAATTAGCACAGGCTCCTGGCTCCTATGGTCCATGTGGACAGCAACAGCCCTCAAACACTGCTTCCCTAGATGGCACTGTGAGGTGCCACTGTCACCAACCCCAGGATCACAGGAGCCGCCCTGGAATCTTACAGACTGCACCTCCTGAGGCCATTAGCCAGTGCATGAAACTTCATTACTGCCTCCTCTTTGGCAATGAAACTGGTCCCAAGGTGGAGCTGGGGCTGTCACCCTAATGCCAACTCCCACAGGACTGAATGCCCAATGCTCTGAAGAGACTCACAAAAGTAGAGTCTTGTTTTCTCTGATCCAGTACGGAGTTCTCATGATCAGTCCCTACCGCCACCGACACTCTAGTGATGAATGCCAGCAGGTGCCACGTCTATAAGAACAGAGTTGGGTCACTGATTCATGGACACTGACACAAGAAGCACGAGGATATAGAGAACTTGGAAGGAGCTCAGGCCAAGGCCCCCAGGGATACCCACACAGGACCTGTGGGACTTGAAGAGGTGACACTTGTGTTAAAAGAGAGATGCTCTGTGACTCTCTTTAGATCACTTGTCACAGAACTGTGTTGTGACTGTGAGGTGGCCTGACAGACCGCCAGGCCACCCACTAACAAGGATTTCTGACCTATATGTTTAAAAAAAAAAAAAAAAAAAAACCAAACTTCAAGCAACTTAATTTGGATAGGAACACAAAAGAAGAGATAAATAAAACATCACCAGAAATTTCAAAAGTAAGCTCATCCCTCAGAAAAGGTTTGTTGACTTAAATACCTAACTCTCCAATATAGTACAAGAGAAATTTGAAGGGTAGAAGATTTAAATTACAAGATTTCCTAATTACAAATTCTACCCATAAAGTTTGTTTATATCAAGCAAAGCAAATATTTTCATTAACTGCAGATCTGGTGGGGATGAGTTTCAAAAGCATGCCGTAGCCATGAGGGCTGCAGCCTTCGGAGCAGCTGGGCCCAGCATTTTGATTTTATACAGGCTACAATAAAAACAGGACTTAGAGATGGGGTTGGGGGAGCAGGGTTCTATTTCAACTTGACTTTACTATCACGCTATAATATCTGCCCCAAACATGCTGTTCTGTTTGGGTTTTCAGAAACAATTAAACTTCCAGCATTCTTTTTATTAGAAAGGCACAAAGCAGGGAGAGGAGTTTTATGGATGAACAGGAGGCACAAAGCATGAAGTGGGTGATCCAGCAGCTCATAAGCTGCAGACGGCGCCCCGGAGCCTGCAGCTTTAGCTGTAACTGCACCAGGGCAGGGGGTTAAGGTCAAAGAAAGCTCAGAGGATCCCAGGAAGCCAGAAGCAGAAAGTGGAAATCTCTTAGGGGTGCCCACAGGAACAATGCAATACTAGTTCTGGACAACATTACACCAGAAATTCTCCGGTTGATTTAACATTCCACAGCAGATGCTTAAAGAGGTTTAAGAGGAATTAAAGGCATTTCACTGCAACAACCAGCATGGCTGGCACATTTCTTTCAGCCTTGAATAGATGCTGTTTTCTTTTAACAGCAACCTATATTCCATTCCCCACCTCAGTCAAGGGATGGAAACACACTTCAATCACCCCTTCCAGTTGATGCWGCATAAGTGCCCAATCCAGGAGGACAATGCATCCTCACCAAGGTAGACCAGGGATTTACCAGGCCTGCCCCTGCCGCACGGGCAGCAGCTTCCCATGAAATGTTTACACTCCACCGACCATCCCATCCACCCCAATATGCTTTCTCTCCAGGAGCTTCTAGTCCAGTCCCACAGATAGGGACCTGGGTGTTAACTGGGAGGAACAGGGGCCACAGCCAGAATCTCCCCTCAACCAGCCAGTTCAGGATCTAACATTTTCATTACCCCAAACAGTCAAGACCTTTGGGGGAAATGGAGATCCCCAAGAGAGATACCTTCTAAATCAGTTTGGTAAATATGAGGTAAACACACTTTTGCAGAAAAAGTTCTGATAGTATATAACTTGCAAAACCTAAAATATTGACTATGTCATTCATACACACACAAACACACACACACACACACACTTTTATTTTTAAAAATCAGTTAATTGCATGGACAAAAATAGTAGACCAAAGAGGGCATTGGGACAAGTGAACATTTATAAAGTCCTCTGCTTATAACAAGAAATAAATACAAATACACAAAATAAATACATATAACTACATATACAGAAGAGGTATAAATGTCAAAATCATAGTTTGCAAAGATAATTACCAAAGGGAATAAAGCCATCCAGTAAAGCATTTTAAACGGGCAGAAATGGCTTTTGATAATATTTTAAATTTTTTCCCCACTATTACAGACTGTGAAAAGGGATTTTAAATTCACAATGAAAGAAAATCTGAATCTGGGAGATGAATGCTGAAAGGGGGCTATGCAGAATAGCAAAGTCCAACATTGCAGATTAAAGAACATGGAGTGCAGGATTAGAGACGGCTTTAAAAAAACGAGGGCAATGAAGTCAGGGAGATGAAAGCAAAAACCCATTTCAGAAACGGTAGACCTGATCAAGGCAAGGGTGAGCACAGACACTCAGGTAAACAGGTCTGCAGAGGCAGCAAATAAGGTTTCTATTTATCGTGCCACTGAAGTGGCTTGGGAAGGCAGGGRTGGGGGAGGGGAGGGTGGAAGCTTAGAATAGAAAGAGAAAGATGCTCTGTTTCTCCAGCTCCAGAAAACAGGGCTCGTATGATACATTTAACTAGGGCATTAAAGGTATTACAGCATCTTTTGTGCGGTCCCTGCCTCCAAGCACACTAATGTTTCTTGAACATATTTTCCATTATAACGTTTTATAACCACATAATGCACATATATTTACAGAAACCAGGAAATTGGAAAACAATTTCCTCCATAAGATCTAGTGTCCTTTTTGAACCCTGCAGAAGGCACTGTCTGCAACTGAAAACACTTTCAAGCATTTGAGGTCTTCTGGGATCCTGTAGTTTGTAGGCAAAGCTACTGATCACGAATGTGTATGTTCAAAAAGACAGATAAAATGCATCCAAGTAAACAACCTTCAAAAGCATTCACATAATCATGACTAATTCTCAAACAATACCACGAAGGGGTGAGAAAGCAGCTCGTCTCCGGGGTAGGAAAAAAACCCAGCCTATTGGACCGGTAGATCCTTTTGTCTTCAGAAATCTACCAAGTGGGTTCTAAATACAGATCAGTAAATACTGTCCTCATACTCCAAGTTGCAGAATCAAATGTACAAATGTGCTTTCCCCTAAGACAGATGAGTAAACAGACTGGCATTTCTTCTCTAATTGGACATTAATTTTTCCTTTAAGACATGTCACCATGCAAGAGTTTCTGGGCTTTATAAATATATGATCTCAGAGAAACTCCCTCCCCCAAGCCCCACAGAAGGGCACTTTAAAATAAATGCTTTATAGTTGTAATGGGTGCCAGGACAAGGTGTTAGGTGCTCTCTTTATATTA